CAAACTGGAGCGTTGTGAATTTTTGATTAGTAATATGCATTGCTAAGAACTTCATTTGGACAACTTTAAAAGCGATTTTCTGAATATTTAGATTTTTTTTTGCACCGTCAGATTCCAGATTTTCAAATAGTTGTATCTCAGCCAAATATTATCCTATCCTACCAAACATCAATGGAAAGCTTAGTTATTCAGCTTCTGGATGATGTATAAATCTCAATAGACCCTTATGACTGGTTTTGTAGTCCAGGGTCACATATGTGTTGTAGTGCTGAGTAATAAATACAAAACAAAGAACTCAGTTTGTGATTTGTAATGTAGGATATGTGAATCCTTCCCTAATAAATAAAAATAAAAACCATTCAAAAGTTTTAAAAATTATTATTTTTTTTTTATTATTTTTTTTATATGTTTTATGCTCATAAAGGCTGCATTTAGTTTGATTTAGATTTTTAAAAATGCAATAAAAACAACAATATTGTGAAACAATTTAATTTTAAAATAGCTGTTTTTGTTTTGACTATATTTTAAAATGTAATTTATTCCTATGATGGAAAAGCTAAATTCTTACTCCAGTCTTCAGTTTCACCTGATCCTTCAGAAATTATTTCTTGTTATTATTAATGTTCAAATCAGTTGTGCTCCTTAATATTTTTTTTGAAACTGTGATATTTTCTTTGTTTTTTTCAGGATTCTTTGATGAATAGAAAGGTCAAAAAACAGCATTTATTTGAAATTGAAATCTTTTGTAACATTATAAATGTCTTTCGTTTAGAAAAAAGTCTTACTAAAACTGTTGTGTATAATTTAAATATAAATATAATATCCCCATAATTTAATTAACCTGTCATAGCCTTTAACCTCTTTTATTTTTCTATAAAACCATCCCCTATTTTCATTCCTCACTCCATAAATCTGTCTGATGTCACATTATGAGTGGAAGAAGCAGCTTGTATCTGTTAAATGTGTTTGTGTTTTGCTGTGAGTGATTCAGTTTAGTGACTACAGCAAGATGAGATGATTTAATTAACATCAACAAACATCTCACCATAGTTGCTTTCATCTGTGTTTCCATATATTTCCAAATTCTCCTGATGGAATCCGTATCAAATTGGTGCATTTGGCATGAAGACGGTTTCTTTTAAATCATAATTGAATGAAAGTCTGAATGAGGTCTGTGAGAAATCATTTTAGAGCCTGGTGGTTAATAAGAGTGAAATGTCAAGGCTAATATGAGTGTGGTAATCATCAAACCTTCTGCTACAGTTTATGGAGGTCTTTAACTGCAGGCGGGAGATGAGTATTCTGATGACAGTCATTTCTATTCTTGATTGCTGTGAACACATTATGATAAATGTGTTGTTCGTTGTGATGTTTCTAGGCTGTGTAGTGGACTGTATCAGGCAGATGGATGGCTGGTGGGTTGTTGGTTGTGTTTGCTGGAGCCTGAGTCAGAATCAGTCGTCCACCCCTTCAGACCCAGACTGCAGCCCACTACCTGCTGCTTTTCCTTCCACAGCCAAAAACCTTCCATCCGCCACGGATTTAGCGTATTTGCATCCTCCTCATTCACCCTGTCTCCTCTCTCTGTGTCAGGATTCAATCCCAGCATACTGTAGTTTGCGGCATCCTTCAGCAGCCAAACAATGGAAAGTTGCACCACGGAAATTGCAGAAATTCAGCTAATTTTATTGTACTAATTTTGTGCGTATAATTCCTTTAGGGAACTATACTAAAACAACAGAGAGAGCAAATAACGACGCTATCATTGGTCCTGGTTCGTAGTGAATTATCGCACATGCTTAAAGACATTTAACCTTATTTTCAGGCTTACTTTTTCTGCTTTGATAAAGGTTTTAGTTATAGATCTAATCCTTCACCGTGTCTCCAATTCTTTATGTTTGGCAAGGTGACCACCACCAATGTATTTTATAAAAGGATGAATGATATACTGACAGTCGTATCATGATCAGCTAAAAACAGCATTTAACGTGTATATATATATATTTATATAAGTGTATACTTCTAGCCTATTATTAAATGCTAATAATATAAAATGTTTGCTCAGAGCAATTCAGTTGATTTCGATTTTATATCAGTGGCAAACAGGAATTTTATTTTTTCATTCTTATAATTTGTGATAGTTATATTATCCATTTTACTTTTATTAAAACTATTATTTGCTTAAAATACAGTAATATTGTGAAATACTATTACAATACTATTACAATGTAAAATAGATGTTTTTCTATCTACTTTGTCGATCATCATTTTAAAACTACACTCTTAAAAAGTATGTGTTAAAAACAACACAACCTGTTGTTTCTTAACACACCTCTGTGTCTAGTTATAAAGACAACACATTTTGTGTTACTTTTAACTCATCCATGTGTTATTCCTACTAATGTTCTACACACTAATGTGTTATAGTTACACAATTTGTGTCAGTTATGTACTCAAAATGTTACAAAACGTGTTAAAATATGTCCTCAACACAAAAAATGTGTTAAAAATTAACACATCCTTTTTGAGAGTGTATAATTAATTCCTGTGATTTTGAAAGTGTGATACACTACCATTCCAACATTTGAAGTAAGATTTTTAAAAAGTAATAATAATACTTTTATTCAGCAAGAATGCATTAAATTCATCAAAAGTGAAAGTAAAGACATTTTTAATGTTACAAAAGGTTTATTTTTCAAATAAATTCTGGTTTTAGAACTTGCTCTTAATGTGATTATATGTATTATGATTTCCAGAAAAATAATAAGCAGTAAAAACTGTTTTCAACATTGATAATAAGAAGAACCATTATTAAAAATTGAGTACCAATAATTATTGATAATAGTTGAGCAGCGAATCAGTATATTCGAATGATTTCTGAAGGATCACGTGACACTGAAGACTGTAATAATGAGAGTAATAATGCTGTAAAATGATTCTGCCATAACAGGAATACATTACATTTTAATATATATTACAATAGAAAACAGTTATTTTAAATTGTTTTAAAAATTGTTTTTACTGTAAAAATCTAAATAATGCAGACTTGATAATATACGTGACCTTTCTCAAAAACATTAAAAATCTTAATCCAAACTTTTGACCCTAAGTGTATCATTTCTTTACTCAAATGGTTCATAAGTTCATTGTCAAATGGTTGTGGAATAAGAATGATTGTATTCTGCCATATATGATGTTTGGTGTCATTTGAGGCATGTAGCTCCTTCATTTAGCTATGTCTATATAAAGTGTTGGCCTGAAGTTGCGTGTTATTGAGAATCCTTTGTTAGCATCCTGTTTGTGAAACATTTCCTCTAAGTCATGAATTATCCAGCCATAAACATAAGACAGTTCTCTGGCACTGACTCTTTCTGATTGCAGTTCTGTTGTTGTGTTCAATTATAAATGTCCTCATATGAAACCGCATAAATAATGCAGAGACATACATAGTGGTTTGAGATCAAGCACAAGTCTCGTTCTTTGGTTGTCTCAGGTTAACAGCATCAGGGTCCGCTGGTTCTTCAGTCTCCAGACAGATGGTGACGCAAATGTTGACTCATCCTTTTTGTCCCCTTTTTTCTCCTGCTTTTAGATTACAATCTTTAAGACTGAAACAGAGCCTGGATTACTGGAAAACCTTTACCGGCAATATAAAGTGGGAGTGCAAGAGTTAGTTACATTGGTCACTGAAGTAACTGGAGCCAAGATGGCGGGAAGAGAGCGCAGTCCACGCCACAGGCCATGGTCTGTGTACCGAGCCAACACATTTGATTTGTCCTCCGAGATGATGGGGTTGGCACTAACAGGTATTATTATTATTATTATTATTAGCTTGATTAAGTGGGGTTTTGCCTATACATTTAACTTTTGCCTGTAGGCCTACAAGAAGTTTATACCATAGTGATCATTATGTCAGTGGCACATAATCATGCACACATGATGGTGTAATAAATTTCTGCTTTTAAAAATTTTGCTTTGTTTTTAAACAAAGATATGAGATATGATTTTCTGTGGTAACAATTATAATGCCTAAATAGACCTTTAAGGGATAATTCACTCAAAAATTAAATCACAAAATTAAATAGAATTTAAAAGGAATTGTCAGTTGAATTCTGAAAGGTTTTAATTCTGTAATATTTCATTTACCCTCATATTGTTCCAAACATGTATGACTTTTTTCTTCTTAGGAACACAAAAGAAGATACTGATAAACTAAACCTTTAAGTTGTATTTTAGTCAAGGTTATTCACTGTTCAGATTTTACTTGAGAATTTATTTTAAATTCTATTTACATTTGTGATTTCAAGTTTAACGGAATGCCTATTTTAAATTTAAAGAAATGTAAATTTGCATTAAAATCATATAACTGCTTAGATATTTAATAATAAATTGTATTTTTTCTTAATGAGTTAGATATAAACATGTTACCATACACACAAAAATATAAATACCATAATTATCAATAGATTCACATTTTTCCAATGTCAATATGTATTTTTATATTTGTCTGAAAACAGTGTGGGGAATATTTTTCGATTATGTTTAATTGCTGTGATGATCAAAATGGAACTTATTTCTAATCAGTAGTGGAAAAAGATAGGAAATAAGATGCACAATTTGTCTAAATCAATAATGTGATTATCATTTATGTTTTAATTTGTGTTATGACTATTAAAATTCCTCTATGTGACTTTGTTGATTTTCTACAGTTCAGTAAGTTCCTCTTTCTGTCATTCAAATTCAACATCCTGTGAGATGTGGAGGCAATTCTTAAAGCAGCACTATGTAACTTTTTCTGTGTTCAAAATTTGCAAAATGTATATAATGAGCGAGTACATCATGAATTCATCTTCCAAACCGCGTTTTTGTCTTATTCCGAATCACTACGTTACACTTATAATAAGTTCTTATATTTGAACTATTGTAGCCTGGTCGGGTCGTCACCGCTGCGGAGTAACACATACCTGCGTGAATCGCCATAGACATAAACTTAGAGAAGTAGCTCCGGTTGGAATGTTCTTCCGCGGGATGTGTGCAGTTCTGTTTATTAACCGCTAGAGCGACAAAAGTTACATAGTGCTGCTTTAAACTGAGAATTTTGCCCGATGCTGATTTTACCCAGACTATTCCTCTAAGACTGCACATCTCAACATTTAATAGAAAGTTAACATTAACAAAATTAACATCTGATAAAAAGACTCAGCCATTCATAGGAATTCTGTGTTGTGTTTCACATGTGTTTAGGAAACAGTCAGGATCCTGATGAGCCGGTGCTTGAGTTCAGTCTGGGTGAGTATCAGCAGTTCAGTCAATCATAAAGTGATCAAGGTGCAGCGTCACCAAAGTTCTTGTCAGTAACACAAAACCACCAAAGCTAATATCCACTCATCAGGATATGTGTGTATCAGTGAAGAGTCTTCACCTCATATTCTTCCTCCTTTTTTGGCTACTAGCACTAACAACATGCAGCCTACTGTATCTGTGAAGGAAATAAACTGTTTATGAGCCTCTTAGCTCACATGCAATAAACATTTATACAACCTATCTGTGAGCTCTTAAAGGGATAGTTCACCCAAAAATGAAAATTCTGTCATTAATTACTCACCCTCGTGTTGTTCCAATCCCGTAAGACCTTCGTTCATCTTCGGAACACAATTTAATATATTTTTGATGAAATATGAGGGCTCTCTGACCCTCCCATAGACAGCAAGGTAACTACCACGTTCAAGGTCCAGAAAAGTACCAAGATGATCGACAAAGTAGTCCGTGTGACATCAGTGGTTCAACTGTAAAGTTATGAAGCTACGAGATACTGTCGTGAACGCGAGTCCACAAGTGACGCAGTCGTGAGACGTCACAGGTTCAACTGTAAAGTTATGAAGCTACGAGATACTGTCGTGAACGCGAGTCCACAAGTGACGCAGTAGAAACAAAAATGTGGAATAAAGTCGTTATTTTTGTTTTCGTTGCGCAAAAAAGTATTCTCGTAGCTTCGTAACTTTACAGTTGAACCACTGATGTCACACGGACTACTTTGTCGATCATCTTGGTACTTTTCTGGACCTTGAACGTGGTAGTTACCTTGCTGTCTATGGGAGGGTCAGAGAGCCCTCATATTTCATCAAAAATATCTTAAATTGTGTTCCGAAGATGAACGAAGGTCTTACGGGTTTCGAACAACATGAGAGTGAGTAATTAATGACAGAATTTTCATTTTTGGGTGAACTAACCCTTTAAATCAAATATTTCCATTGTGGTAGGTGCACTGGGTTTTGTCTGACTTTGGCTGTATATGACTTTTTCCATGATGAAACGACATGTTGATGGCAGTTAGCCATTTAGGGTTATTTGACATTTGTTTGTATGGCACTGTACATCACAAGAAACATTTCATACAGTATGGTTGCTTACAAAGACTGGATTGTAATGCTATGCTACTATGAGTGTAATTACACTTTTCTCCTTTCATGATTAATTATACTGAATTATTGTCCTTCTTTTCCCAGCATGCAGTGAGTTGGTCACTCCATCACTGGACCGTAAGCCCAGCAGCTTTGTAGCAGTGAGCTGCACCACCCCTCCACAGGCGTTTTGGACCAAACATGCACAGACTGAAATTATAGCGGTGAGGATAAGTACTATGATATTACTAGGGTTTGGAACATGTGGAACTATGTAGCATGTTAAACTGGCCCTAAAACCTGGTAAATATCAGATTTTGCATATCGAGGTGAATTTAATGCAGGCATTTCCCTTTTTTCCCAGGGCACTAGTAATCCAATCTTCTTGAGCAGCATTGCCTTCTTCCAGGACTCTCTGATTACCCAGCACACTCAAATCAAACTGTCTGTCTACGATGTGAAGGACCGCTCACAGGGGACTGTAAGACAGAAACCGCTATTCTTAACATTCTGCACTGTTTTGCGCAGTCTCATAAACGCTCTGTTTTATTAGATGTACCTGCTCGGTTCGGCTATGTTTATAGTGAAAGAGCTGCTTCAAGACAAACACCACAGGCTACACCTCACTCTGCGGTATGTGAGATAAATATAGGTACAAAGCCGATGTGTAATCCCATAGCATAACGTTAGCACAGAATTTATTAGGAATTACAGCAAATGTAGTCTGACACCTATTTGTGGGCATTTCACTGGCTCAGATCAGCAGAGAGCGAGCGGATGGGTAACATTACCATCATCGCATGGCAGATAGAGGAGAGGAGAGAGCAGCGAGCTCCTCTGGCACGTTCAGACACAGTTAATGGCAGGGTGAGTGCTTACGTACGCTGCTCTTCACACTATACATTAGTGGTCGACTGCTTTGAGGTTTGGCCACTGTCCAAAACCAATATTTAAATTACTGATGGCTAATATAATTATAAATATCCATTGACCAAGGCATTATTATTTTAGTATCAATTATAGTGTCTTATATAGTATTTTAGTATCATCATATAATATTTTGAATGGGTTTTTTATTTTTATAGTTTCCATTTATTTTGTTGTGTGTTGTGACTACAGTTGTAGTCCATGATAACAACACTGACTTTCAGTTGTAGTTTTTTTTTTTTTAAGAGAGAACTAGCACTTCTGTGAAAGAAACGAGAGTCTGTTTTATTTTGTACAACTGTGTCTATTTAAATCTCTGTCACAAAGAACATGACAATCTTCTGTGTAATTGCTCCCGTGTTTCTCACAGATGGTATTACCTGTTGATGAAAGTCTGACCGAGTCCATGGGAGTAAAAGCAAAATCAGCATCCCTATGTAAAGACACTCTTTTAAAGGCAGGTGAGTGTCTAATTTTAATGTCTATATACCAAAAAAATCGTAATTATTGCAGCTACATTCCATCTGGAGGAAGCAGTTTATTTCTAATGTGCCCTTCATAACTAAACTAATGGGCTGTAGGCTTCACTTCCTGCTGTGAAGACTCATGAATGCCACAAGCTGTGAAAGAGGTTCTGAAAACTCATGTTCATTAAAACACAAGAGTGGTTATTTGCAGTGTTAAATATTCTGTGTGAATACATAATACGTTCTGTGACTAGCATTTTCTGAAGAATAAAATAGTGGTTTGAGGCAACAAATGAAGAGTTTGAAGTGTTCTTTAAGTTTAGGTTTAAGGCTTTAGTTCTGCTTCAATAAAGTGCTGCATCACCCAGCATGCACACTGAAAACAGTTTGGTGGTGAAGCAATTTTCACCCAGAAATTGCGGTAACAGTTACAATAAGGTTTCATTTGTTTAAATCATTTATTAATCTTAGTTAGTTCCAAATTAATGCTTCAGTAAATGCAGTAAAATGCAGCTGATGTCATTCCCATGCCTCTCACTACTGCACACACCCATTGATTGATTGATTGATTGATGCAGTGTTTGGAGGCACTATTTCACGGATGTATCGATTTTCCACGACTGATGGAAACCACCTGCGTGTCCTGGAGCAGATGGCAGAGAGCGTGCTCTCCCTGCACATACCAAGACAGTTCGTCAAACTACTGCTGGAAGAAGATGCTGCCAGGTTAATGCAATTCACTGTTAGTGCTCATGTTCAGAACAACTCTTTTGAAAGGGGGCATGAAATGGAAAATCTCAATTTCCTCGTATTTTTACAAGCTACAATAAAAACATACATCGAAGGTAACTGAGTTTAAAATGTTTTTTGTTTTTGTTTTCTACACTTCTGAAACATCAAGAATAGGTGACCCAAAAATGAAAATTTGCTGAAAATTTCCACACCTTCAGACCATCCAATATTAATTGACATTAATTAACAATCAGACATTAATTGATTGTGGATTACTTGTGGGTTATTGTGATGTTTTTATCAGCAGTTTGGAATCTGACGGCACCCATTCACTGCAGAGGATCCATTGGTGAGCAAGTGATGCAATGCTAAATTTCTCCAAATCTGTTCTGATGAAGAAACTCATATGCATCTTGAATGGCCTGATGGTGTGGAAATTGTCTGCAAATTTATATTTTTGGATGAACTGTTCCATTAAGAATTGGTCAAGAAGACTCACTTTTGTGCAGCACATTGAATTTTGACAATGCGGAAATTACATTGATTTGTAAGATTCTAACTAGCAAGACTGAAACACTATGAATTTATATAAGATTTTATTATATTGTTGCACATTTCTGTCTGAGCGCAGGGTGTGTGAGTTAGAAGAGTTGGGTGAGTTGTCCCCCTGCTGGGAGAATCTGAGGAGACAAATCATCACTCAGTACCAGATTATCATCCTCACCTATCAGGAGACTCTCAGTAATTTACATGACTACAAGGGTAAGTGTTGTGGCACCTGCTCAACCAGAAAGAGGAAGTGAGAGCGCTATAATTAAAGGTGATTTCAACATTGTATTTATCCGATTCTTCTCACCTACTATCCATCAGGTCCATCCTTCAAATCTAGCACTCTGAAAGGAGAGAAAAAACTAGAGTTTATACCTACAAACCTCCACGTTCAGAGGATGAGAGTGCAGGGCGAGTCCGGCTACGGTGAGATATCTGTGGTCAATATTTGCATTTGAACATTGAAATTCTTCAGTATTCTGTCGACATGGGTTGGTCTTCACATAACGTACATATCTGAACAGATCGCACATATGACGTGGTGACCACTGGGGCCCCTGCAGCACATCATCAGGGCTTTAAGGGCAGCGGATTGAGGAAACTCATTCAGAAATTTGAGGAAGCCAAAAAGCAGTAAGACTTTTTAATAATAAATTGATGACGAATATGAATCAAAGTTTTTGTGTTGCTCTGCTAGGTTTCTTGGCTTTTCTAATTCTTTTTTTTATTCTTTTCTTTTCTTTATTATCGTGTTATTCTTGTAGCAAGAGGTATGGAAGCTTTTTTGGCTGCAAAATAAAAAAGATAATTGGGATTTTTGGTAACGCTTTATTTTACGGTATCTTGTTACACATGTTACATGTACTTACTATTACAATAACAACAAATTATGCATAATTACATGCAAGTAATCCTAAACCTAACCATATAGTAAGTACATGTAGTTAATTAATATTACTCGGTACTTAAATGTATAATTACACTGTAACAAGGACACCTTAAAATAAAGTGTAAACTTTTTTTCTCAAAATTGTGAGCCTAACTCTCACAGTTCAGAATTTTTATCTCAGAATTGTAAGTTTATATCTTGCAGTCGTGAATTCTGACTTTTTTTCTCCGAATTGTGAGATATAAACTCAGAATTGTGAGATATCAAGTCAGAATTGCGGGATATAAAGTCAGAATTGCGAGATATAAAGTCAGAATCGCGGGATATAAAGTCAGAATCGCGAGATATAAAGTCAGAATTGCGAGATATAAAGTCAGAATCGCTGGATATAAAGTCAGAATCGCTGGATATAAAGTCAGAATCGCGGGATATAAAGTCAGAATCGTGGGATATAAAATCAGAATCGCGGGATATAAAGTCAGAATCGCGGGATATAAAGTCAGAATTGCGGGATATAAACTCGCAAATGCGAGAAAGTCAGAATTGTGGGATATAAACTCGCAAATGCAAGAAATAAAGTCAGAATTGTGAGATATAAAGTTAGAATTGCGGGATATAAACTCCCAATTCTGACTTTTTTCTCGCAATTGCGAGTTTGTGTCTCGCAATTCTGACTTTTTTTCTCAGAATTTGGAGTTATAAAGTCCCGTTCTAAGGAGAAAAAAAAAAGACTGGTATGTTCTCAGAATTTATATCTCACAATTCTGACTTAACTTGCAATTGCGAGTTATATCACACAATTCTGACTTAATTTCTCATAATTGCAAGTTTATATCTCGCAATTCTGACTTTATAACTCGCAATTGCGAGTTTGTTACGCAATTCTGAGAAAAAAAAGTCAGAATTGGCAGTTTATATCTCACCTTTCTGACTTCATTTCTCACAATTGCGAGTTTACATCTCACAATTCTGAGAAAAAAAGAGAATTGTGAGTTTGTATCAGGCAATTGTGAGATGTAAACTCACAGTTGTGAGAAAAAAAGTCAGAATTGTGAGAAAAAGTCGCAATTACCTTTATTTTTTTATTCATTGGTGGAAAACGGGCTTCCAAAATAAACTCATAATCATATCATAATTGCAAGAAAAAAGTCAGAATTGAGAGATATAAACTCAGAATTGCGAAAAAAAAAGTATATATTTTTTTAATTCTGTGGCAGAAATAATGTTCCATAGAGCAGAACTTTTTTTATCTCATGGCTGCGATTGTAATCAGTTGACTTTGTTGTTTGCTTTCCGATCAGTTCAAGTGAGGGTGAAGGGTGAGTTTCAGGGTTGTTGGCCATTTTTCCAGTCATTTTCATATGTGGTGGTGTTTCATCTTGTTTATGATCGGTCAGGGTCGAATCCTTTACTTCACTTCCATTAAATGTGAAGGATCTTTCTTGTTTGCACCAACATTTGTGTTTTTAAAGATGATGTATTTGCACAAAACTGCTCTCCCACTCCATCCAATTATGTGCACTTGGCATTTGTGTACGTTTTCTGTGTGTGCTTGTATATCACACCATCTCATTTGCTATGTAGTCAACTTGGTCACAGCTTGTGCAGCTGAACAAGTGATTACAAATGGGGAACTGCAGAATATGTTGTTGTTTTGTTTTTAATGATCTGTCTCGTTTCAGTGCCGGGGAATCTGCTCCACTTTCTATGCGGTACCAGCCACAGGATGTGTTGAAAGCTAAAGAAATCATTTCCCATATCAACACTCTGAAGACGCAGGTCAGCTACTACACTGAGCGGCTGTCCCGCGCTGCCAAAGAACGCTCAACCAATGCACTGGAGAGGACCCTCGCTATCCTGACAGACAAGGTGAGAGGATTTGCATGAACCATTTACAGTCTGTTCACTGACCATCTAATGCATCTTTCACACAAAACTGGCAAAAGCTGGCTGAAATCCACAGTCCATTCTGATCGTCTGGCTTTACACAACTTAACAAGGGCACACAGTACAACTCTTTCAAAGATATCCTGAGTTTTGCTTGAGGCACATAAACTAGAAATTTAACTAGGTATTTTTCATTGTTTATTTCTGAAATAACTTGAATTTATTACTATTAGAAATAAAGAAAACACAAATTCTAAACAAATTCTGCACTACTATTCTGTACTACCATTCACAGAGACTACGACACTATTACTTATGTTATTATTTTTATGTACAATTTAATTTAAAAATACAGTTTAAAATTTTTAAATAATGAAATTATTTTAATAAAATAATTTAACTGGATTATTATAAATGTAATTATTTTTTATTACAGTTCTGTTTTTTTTTTTATTTTACATTTTTATATATATTTAATTTTTTATTTAATACAGCCTTATAATTCTTTTACATTATTATAAGTTTTATTAAATTTTATAGTTAAAAAAAAAAATTTAATTATTATAACTCTATTATTTAATTTTGTATTAACTTACATTCTGTATATTATTATAATTCTATTATTGTGGTATGATATACAGTAAAACCAACATTTATTCAGACACCTTCAACATTTCTCACATTATCACAGTTTATTCGCTATAGTTTAGAAAATGGTAATAAAATATGACAAGAACTCCGAGTTAAACTGTGTCAGAACAAATTAATCTTGATAATGTCAGATAACTTTGATAGAAAGGTATGTAATGAATTAGAATGAAAAGCTGTCAGCTGTTAAATTTAAGTAAACAATTAGATAATCCCAATTTAGGTCAACCAATTACCAAGCAATGCTTCATTTTGTTCAGTCTGTGGTGTAAAACGGTCGCATTAGCAATTAAAGACAAATACTTAAGCAAAACATGGTCAGGTCAAAGTGTCTGAATAATTTTGGGTCCCAAATTTGTATCAATTTTACTGGTAGTCCACTGTATGAAGAAATTTTGGGTATAATTTGTCTCAGTTTACTTTATTTTGCTATCCTCACTTTACATAAATGAACTATAGTGTCCTGCACCCACTAGTAAAAAAAAAAATCAAAAATTATATCTGGTGTCTGAATAATTTTTGGTTTGACTGTATTTCAGATTAACCATCGCCTAAATGCTAAAATTTATAATGCTTAACAGATCAGTAGTTCTTGTGCATTTGAATATGAATATTTATGAATCACCATTAATCAAAGTTTCGTAAAAATTCTACTGAATTCCAATATTCCACACTGATAAATCAAGGGGGGTTTATATTTATTTTTTATGTCATGTATGTTATTTGTTTTGGAAAGTCATAGAAATGCTATTTTGGATTTTCTATTTGGATTTCAATATATTTATTGTAGATTCCATTTACCATTTTACCATTTACTATTTAAAGCTGCTTCTGAGAACCCCAGGGATGAGAAAAGGGTTCATTAATGAAAGCTATTTAAGGTGTTTCTCATGCTCAACAGATCTAGCAAGTAAAAGCTGTTGAGGTCCACTTAATGAGTAAGTGCAATCTCTGTGTCTCTCTCAGACGCGGCAGCTGGTGACAGTGTGTGACAGTAAGCTGCTAACTACAGCTATCCAGGCACTGAGTGCTGCACGCCCAGAGTTCATCGCCTCCAGGGGCTCTCCGTCCACCCATGACACTGTGCGCGTGGTCCTGAGGAACGACCAGGGCTCTCCACAGGCCAAATGGAGCGGGAAAGGGAACAGAGCATCCATGAACTTAAACTGGCAGGAGGAGGAGTGGGTAAGATTCAGAGACTGACATTATTATTTTCTCATGAATTTACCTAGAAGTCTGCAGAAGCTGACATATTTCTGTTTCTGTTTCAGGAAAAGATCTGGCTCAATGTGGATAAGAGTCTGGAGTGTGTGATCTGCTGTGTGGACAGGCTGCTGACGAGAGAGCGCTCGCAGAGCGACAGCAGTGAAGACGTCTTCCTGTCTGACCAGCAGGCTGACACCAGCAAGAGAGGTAGCCAGGGCAATGCATTCTGGATCAACCCTGTTGACGGTCGCTCCACCCCCCTGACCTCATCACACCCTCTTTCAGCTCAGTCCTCTTCAATTATTACCAGCGTCCTCATCACCCTTACTGAACCCTGCATGCCCATCCAGTCCTAACACTCGCTCCTGTAGGTTCCACCCTGTGTTACGTTCTGTTTTGATTCCTTTTAGAACTGCTTTCAGTTTTACATCCTCTTCTAGTGGCACAAGTGATAATTCTGTACGCCATTCAAAATCGAATGTGCCACATTTCCGCTTGATATCTCTGACTTTCAACCATTAAGGAGTCCTTTTTGAAAAAGAACTATGTTTTAGCATGATTTTAAAAAGAGTGCTGCTTATTATGGCAATAATATACTTTAAAAAATATACTTAAGTGTGAACTGAATGTAAAGTTTTTGGAGACTTAATTGCATGTTAACTGCAATTGAATGAACTATATTAGTTTTATTATATTTAAAATTAGTGTACTCTATTTCATTAATATTGTATGGTCTTTTAGTACAGGTTTTTAAAATATATATTTAATACATTCTATACAATTAAGCACACTTCTTTTTCACAAGGGTTTTCATTGGCAGAGACTCTGCAGATAAAGAGTTGAATGGAATTGTAGTTGCTTTTGTTTTGATATGCTAACGAACCAAAAATGACATCACACGATTTCATAAAGAGTTGGCTTTAAAAGTAATAAAAGTAAAACAACACTTAATTGTTCTCTCTCTGTCTGGCTTTAGATGGCAGTCCCAGTGTTGAAGGCTCCACTCCTGGTAAGCCTGTCGCTGCAAACTATTTGTACCAGCTGCAGCTATATTTGTGGGCTGTCCAGTTGACGTTAGCTGTCTGTGTTTATGGCTCTAGGTGAATGGAGTGAAGCTCTGTATCCTCTCCTGACCACTCTGAATGAGTGTGTAGCAATGATGAGCGACAAAGCCAAGAAGTCCATGGTGTTTCTACTGATGCAAGACAGCGCTCCCACTATCGCCATGAGTTTGTCACTACAGTACCGCAGAGATGTGGTTTTCTGTCAGACAGTTAGTACAGACTATTTAAAGAGATAAACAACATAATTTTATTGCCAATCAGTCATAACCAGGCCCACATAGAATGTGCTCTGTAGAAATGAGAAACTCTTCTCAGTTATAAAATTGTGTGAATCTCATCACCCATTACATTGCATTTGTTAAACATTTCAGCTAATTTGATATTGTGTTCAGCTACCAATAAGGATATAGCTTTTAATGTTTTAAATTGGTTTCATTAAAAATGACAACTAACAAAAAATTCATTGTGTCAAGGCCTGTCTATACGAAAAAAATATTTTCCTATATACTTTAAATATATTTCAAAATATAAAAAAAATGGTAGCAAAACGTATCTTGTTAATATAGACTATAACATTTACATAAATATGTATTAAGTGTTTCATAAATATATTTTTTTCTCATTTGGATTTCCTATTTAGTATTTATTTTTCAATCTAAATATATTTTTATTGTCCAAACAGTATATTTTAAAATATATATTATATATACAGTATATTTGCATTTACCCAAAATGTATTTTAAGATTGGAAATGTATTTTCCTGCTGCTTTAAGTATTGTAATATATTTTGTAATATATTAAACCTTTAATGTAAAGGTTTAAACAAAATATATTTTAAATTTGATATTTTCTTAAGCTGCACTGTTTACAATATTTATTTAGCATATATTTGAAATATACTGTGGCCATAAAAAATTAGGGGTTTTTTTGCCATATGGGTGTTTACGCCATAAATCATTTTTACCGAGGTTGGCAAAAATTGATTTGTGTGTTTTTCGTATTGAAAATGGTTGTGCTTACAGAGTACTCGACAAAACACTTTAATAATGCAATTTCCCTAGCTGACTGTAAATTAACATTTCATAGCCATTATAATAATATACATATTTCTTTGTAGCTGACGGCCCTGATCTGTGGGTTTGTGATAAAACTGAGGAACTGTCTAAGTGACAGCGGCTTCCTCAGACAACTCCACACTATCGGCTTACTGGTCCAGTTCGAGGGGCTCCTGAGCACCTACGGTAAACATACAAACACATTTCAATTCAGCTTGCACTTATGGATGAAGGTAAACGTATCTGAATGTGTGAACTCTGAGCTCCTCTTTCGTCTTAAAGGGGAGGAACTCGCCATGTTGGAAGACATGAGTGTAGGCGTCATGGACCTCCGGAATGTCACCTTTAAAGTGACCCAGGCGACCTCCAGCTTCAGCCCCGACATGCTGCCTGTCATCACGGGCAACAGAGATGGGTTTAACGTGCGTGTTCCTTTATCGGGGGTGATGTTTGATGTGTTACCACGGGAGATCCAAAATGGGATGCTGCTGCGAGTTCAACCGGTATTATTCAATGTAGGAATCAATGAGCAACAAACGCTAGCGGAAAAGTAAGTGTATGAATTAAATATACTTTCTGTTTCTTTGTATGGACTGGTTTAATCACACTGGCTCTCATTCACTAATAATTGCATGGATTATCAGTATTTATATGCACAGGAAAACTTCTCACAAAAAATAATGCACATGAATTCATTCTAATGTTAGTGAATTTGGAGTATTATAAATGAACAATTGTGTGCCTAAGGTTAGTTATTTGCATAAAGCACGCTCAGACCATCTCTAGGGCTTTCCACTCAACCTTTCCTTTACAGCCATTTGTCACTCTCAGCAAACACATGACGCTCTCTAAATACACGCTGTCACATGTGCTGCAAGATTCACAAGCAATGCCCAGTTTGGCATTTTTAAAAAACAGTTCAAACACAATAAACATCGTTTACACACACTCAGATTACAGAGATCTCATTAGCCAGCTGTAGCTACACATGCAGTTTTGTGCTTTTATGAGAGGAACCTCACAGCTTGAGCTATAACACAGCTTTTCTTACTCTTTCATTGTATAAAATTAAATATATTGTTTAAAGATGAGATATCTATGAAACATTTTTATCTTAAATGCGTCACCCAGAGTATGTGAATTTTGCATACAGAAGGTTTTAAGTAGTTCCTTTTTTCATAAATTTAGCACACATTTTAGTACACAAGTTATTGATGAATCATGTATAAATTGTGAAGTCCTTTGTATGTAGATTTAATGCACAATGTGTGCGTATGCATGCTTAGTGCTATGAGATCCGATATATACCTCTTCAGTTATTCATACAGTGTAATTCATTGGACTGTCAATATACAATATACAGTTTATATATACAATATACTTTTTAGTATTCATGTTCATTTTGTATTACTATAGGTTTGGAGACACGTCGCTGCAGGAAGTAGTGAATATGGAGAGTCTAACTCGTCTTGCCTCCTATTATGACCAGTTTAAAGAAGTGCTGCCTGAAGACTGTGAGTCCTAAACACTCTCCTAAACTGCGCATGAAAGAACGTTGGTAGATGGTTTATGTCAGTCCTAACCAGTTGAATGACTCCATCTATAGGTCTGCCCCGCTCTCGCAGTCAGAACTGTGTACCTGAGCTACTCAAGTTCCTCAGTCAAAATGTTAATGCCAGGAAGAGCAAGAATGTTGACATCCTGTTGCAGGCAGCAGAGGTACGTACAGTGGTCTAACATTATTATTATTATGTTCTCTTGCATCTATACTGAAACATGGGAAATCACAATTCAGTTTGTATTTGATTCATGGAGCTGCGATCTGAGACTCTCTCACTAGTGAACTCTTTGTAATAGTTTGAATGTACCTTACCAGGATGATATCTTTCTCTCTTGTTATGTCAGATTTGTCGGCGTCTGAACGGTGTGCGTGTGACCAGCTGCAAGAGTGCAAAGGATCGTACAGCCATGTCGGTGACCCTGGAGCAATGTCAAATCCTCCAGCAAGAGCACTGCATGGCCCCGCAGGTCTTCACACAGGCTTTGGACTGTATGCGCAGGTGAGACGACAATTTACAGCTAGGGATCGTATTCACACATTAAGGCCTGATCACACCAAGGACAATAACTATAATACTGACGATAAAGCAGGGTTTGTGCACGTTATGTGCTGTCTTAATTCAAATTTTCACAAATGAAGGCCCTAAAATGTCTTAAATCAAAGTAGAACGTCTTAAAGTCATAAAGTCGTGGCATTAAAAGTTGCCTGCACTACACAAAAAGATGATCTTCCACAGTATTTTGTTTTCCAGTACAAATACAGGATGTAAACATCCAAAAATCAAGATACATTTACTTGAGATGCAAAATTAATATACTGAATTAGTTTTCTGAGAAATGGAAGAAAATTAAATGAGTTTATGATAAGAAACAAGAAGAAATGCCTGTCAATGGGATATTACTTTTTTTTACTTTAAAAAAAAGTTGATTTTTAAGAGCAGATTTTTAACTCACTTCACTTCTTGCTTCTCAAATAATGTATCTTGATGTATGAATCTTTGGGCATTTGCACTAGAAAACAAGACAAAAATACAGGGGAAGAACATCACATTTTTGCAGTGTGATCAGAAGGTACCATAAAAGTTATTTATTTTTTATACAAAGTGAAATAAAAAGTAATGGAGTTCTTACTTTTAAAAAAAGTTGATTTTTAAGAGCAGATTTTTAACTCACTTCACTTCTTGCTTCTCAAATAATGTATCTTGATTTATGAATCTTTGGGCATTTGCACTAGAAAACAAGACAAAAATACAGGGGAAGAACATCACATTTTTGCAGTGTGATCAGAAGGTACCATAAAAGTTATTTATTTTTTATACAAAGTGAAATAAAAAGTAATGGAGTTCTGTTGGAAGTTGTATTTTCAAAATGAGAAGTGTTGCTATTACAAGACGTTTACATTTAGAGATCATGTTGTCGTATTGTGTTCCATTCAATTTATTCCTTACATTTACCTTCACCCTGTGAAACCCTGTAAAGGTATAGTTTTAAAAATCATTCTAATTGTAAAAGACTAGCATACCAACCAACTGTAATGATAACGGCACAGAGGAATGATATAATTGGAATCACTTCTAGAACAATTTTTTTTTTCTAGCTGATTAACGACAAAAACATTTGACAGCCATTCAGAATTTTAAAGCAGCAAACTACAGCACGTGCTTATAATAAACAGAATGTTAACATTCGTTAGTGTGGACACTAATATAGTTATAGTTATAATTATTGTTTTTGGTGTGAATGGGCCTTTTCTCTATCTGTTTCACAGCGAGGGCTGCAGGCGAGAAAACACCATGAAAAACGTCGGCAGCCGCAAATACGCTTTCAACTCCCTCCAGCTGAAGACTTTCCCTAAACAGTACCGACCACCAGAGGGAACCTTCGGGAAAGTGGAAACTTGAACTGAAAGCAGTCCGCTGTTCTGGCCCACCGCGACTAGAACTGCATGTTTCTCCTCGTTCGTTTTACTTAATCACCACATATCTGAAGGAAAGTTTTATTTTGCACAGTCATGCTGAAATACGCTCTGGTTATCATCCAGATGATAATGTTCATATTTCTACATCCCCAACCTCTTGGCTCTGAGAAGAAAGGAGAT